TTCAAGTATCATGTGTCACCTCCTTTGGGAAGTCTTCCCTGATTCACAGAGCTCAGGTGCTCCATCTCTAATACTGTCCTGGCACTCAATTCTATCACCGCATAATTAAAATAGCTATAATGCAGAGCATCTGGGTGGCTCAGTCAGTTAAGCATCCGACTTTGGATCAGGTCATGATCTCACAGTTCATGGGTTCGAGCCCCGTGTTGGGCTCTGTGCTGACAGCTTGGATCCTGGAGCCTGCTTTGGATTCTGTGTTTCCTTCTCTCTCTGCCCCTCCCCCCCACACCATGTCTCTCTCTCTCGAAAATAAATAAGCACTAAAAAATAATAATAATAAATAGTATAGTTATAATGTATTATAATTTAATTATGCATCTCTGTGATTGTGTCCCCTCTGAGACTACATCCTCTTTGTGGGCAGGAAATATATATGTTGTGTCTGTCATTGTATCCCTAGTGCATAGTCCAGTGATTGGAAAATAATAGGCACCCCCAAACATTTGTTAAATAAATGAATAAGAAGTAGAAAATAAGGAAGCTCTAAGTAAGGAAATAGCAATAAAAGGATATAAAAGAGAAGAAGGCATTTTTGATATACATTTAGGTGATAAAATTAATAGGTCTTGGTGACTGATTAAACATAAGAATAAGAGTGATAGGGTGCCTGTGTGGTTCGGTCAGTTAAGCGTCCAACTTTTGCTCAGGTCATGATCTCACAGTTTGTGAATTTGAGCCCAGTGTCGGGCTCTGTGCTTACAGCTCAGAGCCTGGAGCCTGCTTCAGATTCTTGGTCTCCTTCTCTTCCTGCCCCTCCCCTGCTTGCACTGTCTCTCTCTCTCAAAAATAAATAACTATTAAAAAATTTTTAAAAGAAAAAATAATGAGGAAAAGTCTAGAATACATTTCAGCATTTATAAGTAGATAGAAGGTGGTGCTATTTGGGGAGAGAGAAAACGCAGAAGGAAGTTTGAGTGCAAAGACAGAGACAGCTCAAGTTTGAGATATTTATTCTATATCCAAATGCAAACGTCCAGTAGACAGGCGAAAATAGGATTTGGAGCTCAAGCAGTAAGCCTGGACGTGGAAGTCATTGGAGTATCACCCAGGAAATTCCTTATCAATTTACTTCCTGCCAAGAACATCCCCTGTAGATCCCCATTGGAATCGTTTTCCATTTTGTCCCCATACTGCCCCTTTCTGCAACTCAGCAGGTGCTCATATTAGTTTGTCGGGGCTGCCATAACAACAGGAAATTATTTCTCATGGTTCTGGGGGCCAGAGGTCCAAGATCAAGGTGTCAACAGATTTATTTTCGTCTGAGGATTCTTTTCTTGGCTTGCAGATGTCCTCCTTCTCACTGTGTCCTTACATGGTGCTTCCTCTGTGCCCATTGCACCTGTGCTGTTTCTGTGTGCCTCAATTTCCTTTTTTTATAAGGTCATCAATCAGATTAGATTAGGGCCCACTCTAATGGCTTCATTTTAACTTAATCACCTTTCTAAAGGCCTTGTCTTCAAATACAGCCACAATTCTGAGGTGTTATGAGCTAGGACTTCAAACTAAGAATTTTGCAGAGGGACGTAGTTCAGCGTCAAACAGATGAGAGGATTTCCTCTCATCCTCCTTCCACAGTGCTGCCCTGGAAGCTGCCAGCCAACACTCCTCCAACAGAGCACCAATGTCCAGAGGTGGTTTCCCCTCAGATTTCCAAGATTCTGTCTTTAACATGGTACAGAAATAGATGGAAGAGTGGGTTATTCTGCAGGGATATGATGGTGAGGAGATGGTAGGAAGACTTGAAGGATGAGTTAAGAGTTCACTGTTTACCAAGGGGAGAAACATTTTAGGCTAAGCAAAGATACCATGGCATTAAATTTCAGAGGGAGTTTGGGGACAATTAGATGTAGCTGTAGTGGAGGTTGAATGTGGGGGATGGTAGTAAGAGCTGAAGCAAGAGGGGTTGGCCAAGGTCACGTTTTCAAGTGCTTTCCTGTTGGCAAAAAATCAGCCACTGCTTTATGTGAAGAGACATAGACAGGGAATTAGAGGCTGCTCTGATCACTCAGGCAGGAAACAATGCAATTACTTGTAAAAGGCTGGAAGGTTGGAGGATGATGTTAAGGCAAAGAGCTATTGGGGGTGGGGCTATCTGGGTGGGGGCCAGAGTGGGGAATAAAAGATAAAGCAGAAAAGATGGGGGGAGAGAGAGAGGATAAAAACAGGAAGTATCTTGTTCAGATCTAAATGCAGAATTCTAGTAACCCAGATGGGATTGTGTTGGGTTGGTTCTCCTCCTAGTTGGCTAGCACTCCTTGGTGAAGTGGAGGATACAGGGAGCAGAGAAGGCTCTAGCTATCAGGGAGTCCATTAATAAAGAAGCACAGCAGCACAAAGGCCCCCTGTCATCAAGGTGGCAAAGAATTCCAAGAGGACCTGGGAAGCTGGATGAGATCAGCCTCAGTGGGCTGACCAGGCTCGGCATTCACAGGTCCGGTTCTGACTGGTCATCTAGGGCAGTCATCTCAGGACTGGGCCTACAGATCAAGGACTAGTGATCTAGATCCAACCACACTGAGGACATGGTGGTAGCTGTCAAGGGCTTAAGTTTCCTTAAGGAGCAGGGAGAATCAGACACCTGCACAGGAGAAAAGCAGGGGGTCACTGTGCTTGGTCACTGTCATCGCTAGTCAGCTTATAGCCGTGGTCGAGGCCAGAGGTTAGATGTCAGGAAGGCAAAAGGGCCAGTCAAATGATCTTATCCCAACTGCAGGCTAAGGTGCACCAAGCCATCTTTCCATTGAGTAAGGCCTGCTCTGAATAAGGACGGCCACAGTTGGCCGCCGTATGTCTTTCAAATTTGTGACTATCTTCAAAGGGAGTTTAATCTTTCTTTATGAAACCTCTGGACACAAGAACATGAGGGTTTCCACTCTGGGCTGCCCCATGGTTGACAATCCTAACGGGATCCGGAAGCCAGCTGTGGGCTTCGCTGCATCTGGAAATCCTAAGAGTAAAGCTCTCCAACTAAGACCATGGATAGGCAGTTATAGCAGAGAGGCCTTATGCCTGTGAAGCTGGTGACTGAAGAGAGAGTGGTGAAGGGCCTGAATTGGTGGCTGGCAAGTGAGTGCCTGCAGACTGGACTGAAGGGCTCTGAGGCCAAACTCTTTGAAGCCCACTGTGGAGATGTCAGGGCCACAGCAACCCTGGGTGCAGCCTGAGGAGTTATGCTATAGTCGTGGCCTCCCACTGCCTTCTCACCTACTCTCCATAATTCCTGAGACTTCATTGGTAGTGAATATGTATTTCATTGTGAAAATAATGTAAACATGCCACAGAAAACCAAGAAAAAGATTTTCACAACTCTGCTCCCCCCCAACCCCCCAACCCCCCACGAATTAGTTGTGATACAATCAGAGTTTTACCTCACTGGGCCTTATCCATCTGAGTTTACAGTCTCAACGTTAGGACTTGAGGCATTCATGAATAAAATCAACCAGAGCCTCTTCAATGTAGGAGATGGTTCCACGATGCTGGGCATGAGAAGTTTCTGAAAGAGCATTCCCACTTGGAGAAAGAGGCTGAGTCGGGCAGTGTTGTTTCTGAGGATTTAAGAGGAGGGGTCAGCGGAAGTTCACCTCATTTGGGGTGATGGTTGTTGGAAATAGGAGGAATTAACCCTAGGGATGAGGAGCCATTGTTTAAGACTTTAGTGGTGAGGCACAGTTAGGGGCTAAGGTCAAGTGGAAGACAGGTAGAGAGGAACATCTATCCAATGGGGACAGGGACTTGCAAGTACACCCTGGAAAGTCCTGTCTTTTGGTGTCTCTTGCAGGGACCAAATGCAAACCCAGGTCTTCTGACTCCTGGTCAGAGTTCTTCCCATGTCTCATAGATGCCTCAACCCTTCCCACTTTGGTAGATGATTGAGAAAGAACCATAGGTATTCTGGACCCACCCATAGAAGGAGAGATTGAGATAATTAAAGGCCTGGACAGGAAAAAAAAAAAAAAAAAAAAAAAAGGAGGATTTACCACTTTGCCCTTGGGATGTGATGTATCTTCAACAGGACCAGGTCCTGCAGGAGTTGCATCCTGTGAATTGCTGACCTGAACCTTCAGGAAGGAGATTCTGCTTCTAGAGATTGAGAAAACTCAAGGACTTCCTTACAGAGGAGTTCAGTGTCCCCAAGGCTTGGTTCTGGAAGCATCACTGTACAGATAGCTGTTGTTGTGTCCCTTAATAAAATTCTTCTGAGCTCCATCCTCCGATTTTTCAGCTACCTGGGGCAGCCAGGCCTGTGGCTCATTGTATCTCTCTCCCTAAGGGGCAGTCAGCCCTGTGCCCTGGCTGTTCAGAGACAGGGGTGTCTCCAAGCTTTCATTTTTCCTTGCTGTGCCTTTAAGAGCTGCAGGAATGCAAAGAGTCTGGAGGAGGGGTGGGGTCTCCCAACAGGACTTCTGGGAAAAGGATCCTGGGAATTTTTGCCAGAAACTAAACTGAAATTCCAACTCTGAGAAGTTGGGGGTGGTTTGGTTTGTGTTGGGTCAGGCCTGTGATTGGACTGCAGAATCCGCTAGGGAGGAGGAAAGCAGAAGTAAAATGCAAGGAGCCAAGGAGAGGAGGAGGGCTGCCCTCCCCACCCTTACCCCCACCCCAGTGCACACTCACCCAGGCCTGCAAGAGGGTGAAGCCACTAGCCTGGAGAGGATCAGTGTGTGTGAAGGGTGATAATAACAGATGGACCCAAGGAACTCTCTACCCCACATCGACCTGCAAGGCCTCCAGGGACCGGCTTGCCAACAGCTGGACTTGATCACTGGCTTGCAAAGTGAGATCACGCATCTGGTGGAATAACAAGCAGCCTTTGCTCTCTGGCTGTTTGTGGAGGATTTTCACAGCAGTGGCTAGAAAGTGGGAGACTGCTACCTGGACCCTTGAGTTTTCTTGGAGAAGCACAGCACAGGAGATTCCACCCTTGGGTGATTCGCAGGACAATGATGGCCCTTCAGCAAGCATCTGCTTTCCTGGTTCTGTTCCTTGCGGCTCTCCTGCTCCCTCCACAGTGTGCCCAGGACCCGGCCATGGTGCACTACATCTACCAGCGCTTTCAAGTCTTGGAGGTAGGTGGCATCTGTGCACCTAATCCGGGGAACATGCCTCCCGGAAGTCACGTTATCTTACCCCTGTTTCCCTCTCTACTGGGATGCACTTTCCCCACATATATCATAAATACATTGCCAACATTACACTTGAGATTTTTTATCATCTAGTGGTTCAGAGAGCTGGCTCCAGAGCCCAGGTTGCACCACTCCCAAACTTTGAGCAGGCTTCACTTTGTGGTCTGATCTGACAGTTTTCTCATCTGTAAAGTGGGGATGATAATAGAATTTATCTCCTATGGCTATTCTGAACATTGCCTGGCATGGCGGTAAATGTTACAAAGTGTTGTTATTATTCAATAGTTCCATTATTTAAATATGAAAATTAAAAATTCTGGTCACTTCTGGGGTGCCTGGGTGACTCAGTCGGTTAAGTGTCAGTCTTCAGCTCAGGTCATGATCTCACAGTTCATGAGTTCAAGCCCTGCATCAGGCTCTGTGCTGACAGCTCATGCTGCCAGCTCATGCTCTGTCTCTCTCTCAAAAATAAATAAACATTAAAAACAAAAAATAATTTAAAAATTTTGGTCACTTTTTATTCGTATTTTACTATATCAGGACGATAGTAGATGTTAGTTTTCCTTTCGTTTTTTTATGATAAAATATTAGGCCACTGTAAAAAGTTATGGTATTATATCAAGAGGCTGCATCTTAGCTCCTTTGCCAAACTGCACTTGGGTTTAGAAATGAGTAGATTTCAGGGGTGTCTGGGTGGCTCAGTCTGTTGAGCTCTGACTTTGGCTCAGGTCATGATCTCATGGTTTATGAGTTCGAGCCCCACATTGGCCTCTGTGCTGACAGCTCAGAGCCTGGAGCCTGCTTCGGATACTGTGTCTCCCTCTCACTCTCTGCCCCTCCCCCACTCATGCTCTGCCTCTCTCTCTCTCTCAAAAGAAAAGAAAAGAAATGAGTAGATTTCAGCAATGTTAGAGAGAAAGTGTTGGGGGTCCCCTTCCCCATGGGTTGCAGCTGCCACTTCACTAAAATTTGTAAAACCCACCATTTTTGCAGCACAGACAGGCTCCCAGTGACAAATGTAACCCTGTGCCCTAGCCTTTGGCCTACCCCTGGCGTTGCCATTATTTCATACTCAATTGCCTTGCTTTTGTACAAGTTAAATTTTGATAAATTCTTTACCTTTTTCCAAAGACACTTTTTTTTCCAAAGACACTCTTGTTTCCAATATTTATTTTCTATATCTTCTTGAATATTTTTAAAGTCCAAATTAGTTGATGATCTGGTTAAGTAAAATAATTCCAAAGAGCAGGCTGAACGCATTTCCTAATGTCCAACCAACCAGCTGAGGCTGGGGGCAGGGAACAAGATGGTCCCAGGCCATGGCCTCTTGCTGCCTGCCTTACTTGCTCTTTCCTCAGACAGCTCCTCCCCAGGGTACCTCCTTGAAAGTGCCAGAATTAGGCTCAACCCTGGGCCCCCTGCATTTAGCACTAGCTTGCCCTGGGATTCCTGCAGGTTTCCCTCAATACCTGAAAAGTTTTTCTGCAGAAAAGGGTATAAAGTGCAGACACTTTGATTGCTATGAATGTGGATTTTTTAAAAGATGGGGATATGGTTCCTATAGATCTTCCCAACCTGGTCAAGACTTGGAGGGGAAGTCAAATCCCAGGTGGCAGTCACTGTTGACCAATGTGGACACTTACAAAGTAATACAGTTCTCACCCTGAGGGATTTTTAAAAAAATTTTTAACATTTATTTATTATTGAGAGACAGAGAGAGACAGAGCATGAGCATGGGAGGGGCAGAGAGAGAGGGAGACAGAATCCAAAGCAGGCTCCAGGCTCTGAGCTGTCAGCACAGAGCCCGACACGGGGCTTGAACTCACAAACTGCGAGCTCATGACCTGAGCCGAGGTTGGACGCTTAACTGACTGAGCCACCCAGACACCCCTGATTATTTGTATTTTAAAAATATTTTTCTGCGAATGATAGCTATTTGTATCCTTGACCAATTTAAGTAACTAGCAATAATTTGAGAATTTATTTTCTGACTGAAGCAAGGACTGGAAAAATGTACCCAAGCAACGAGGGCATACATTCACGACTTCCAAGAGTTCTCGAAAAACCTATCCGTTATGCTGGGAAGATGTCAGACCTCCACCAGTGAGTATAGGAGTGCAGTGGCTAACCTGGCCCTGAGAGTCGAACGTGCCCAGCGCGAGATAGACTACCTGGAGTACCTGCGGGAAGCTGACATATGCCTGGAATCAGAGGACAAGACCCTGGCAGAAAAGCTCATCCAAGAGGCCGAAGAAGAGAAAAAGATCCGGACTCTGCTGAATGCAAGTAAGAGAACCATGTCTTTTACAGCCCTTGTAGGGACTCACATTCAGAGACACAGACTCGGCACAGATAGGGGTCTGGCCAGGTATGAGAGTAAGAACCAGATGTACAGTTTTGGGGGCAGGCTCTGGGAGGGAAACCTTACCAGGGAACAGGTGTCTGAAGGAAAAAGTCCTTCTCGGAAAGCAGCTTTTCCTTTCACAGAGAGTTCTTAAAGCCCCCATAGAAGGTCAGGGCTTCAGTGTCAGAGGTCAGCTAGGGAAGCACATCTCCAGATAGACCTTGGTTTGGAAGAGGTGTGTGGTACCAGATCCTTCCAGGGAGGGTAGAAGGTTGGCAGATTCCCCCAGTGCCTTGAGAGTAGGCAGCGGCTGCTAATGTGCCAAGAGATAGTCTGAAATTGTAAATGGCATTGGTCAACCCTCAGGACTGAGTACTACAGTGAATCATTACTGTGTTGTCAGGATGGTGATATCTAGGGGATTTGTCTTCCATCTTGGGATCCTGTTCAAATCCCTTCCAGGCCATTAAGAATAATGGTTGGGAGCTCAAATTATAATAACGAGTATCAAGCAAGAAAAACATAAGCGAGAAAGAAAATTTCCTGTGCATGAGTCCATTTTATTAAAACAATGAGGGAGACAAGTCACCCAGCTCAGAGTCTGTATTCTGATATGGTTTCACTGCAAATAGGAAAACTTTATTTATATGTTAATTGTGTCTGTCCCAAATGTGAGAAATTCCATCAGAGAAATAAGATAAAAGATGAGTGTCATCATTGTGCTAAAGGTTTCATATATCTTCTCAGTGTAATCCTGATAAGAACTCCATGGGTCATCATAAGATGGGTCTTCCTAAATGATGTGACGCTTGATCTGAGTTTTTTTTTTAATTTTTTTTAAATGTTTATTTATTTTTAAGAGACAGAGAGAAACAGATCACAAGCAGGGGAGGGACAGAGAGAGAAGGAGACACAGAATCCTAAGTAGGCTCCAGGCTCTGAACTGTCAGCACAGAGCCCAACCTGGGGCCTAAACTCACAAAGCGCAAGATCATGACCTGAGCCAAAGTTGGCCACTTAACCGACTGAGCCACCCAGGTGCCCCTTGATCTGAGTTTTAAACAAAGTATTAGAGAAAAATGAGCAAAGGGTACGTGAGGTGAGGGCACAATATACTGAAGGCATGAGAGTATAGAACACTTTGGCATGTAGGTCTGCAGATATGGCCGAGGGGAAGCTCAATGGGGCAGATGCATTTGCAAAACAAGAAACAAGATTGTAGGGTTCAATGAAAGACCTTGCATGTGAAGCTCAGGCATTTGAACTTGATTTGGAAAAATGATAGAGAACCACTAAACAATGTTCATCAGGGACATGACATGAAGGAAGAGGGCAAGACTAGAGAAAGGAGACCAGTGGGGGACTACTGTAGCAATTGGGGCAACAAGTGATGGTGTCTGCATTAGTTGTCATTGAGATAGAGAAGGGCGGATGGATTTGAGAGCCATTGAGAGTTGGAATCCACATGGCTTGGTGACTCATAATTAAAGGTGAAAAATGACTGAAAATGATGAGTCCAGGGCACTTTCTGGATCTTTGACTTAGGTTTTGGGTGGCTGGTCTCAAATACGTTGAGATAAGAAACCCAGGAGGAATTTTGGAGCACTATTACTCTACTATTTGTTTTTTCAGAAAACTCTGAAATCTTCTAGTTCATTTATTTGCTCACTGCTTATTTTCTGCCTCTGCATCTAGAATGTTAGCTCTACATGATCCTTCACAATGCTGTGCCCCAGTGCCTAGAACAGTGTCTGTGTTCAACACATATTTGTCAGTGAATAACTAAGTGAACAAATGAATGGATTGTTGGAGAGACTGTCAGTATGGACAGAGGAGTTATTAGGTTTTGATGGAAAGGAGAACAGAAGGCAGAGAGAAGGGTGCCTATCTATAATATGAAGCAGTCGATCAAGTTGGTTGAATGAGTAATTGATCCTTTTTGGCCTTGACATTATCTTGAGATGAATCATCCTCTGAGAGGGAGCAACTGGGGATAAACATGGGGTGAGAGAAGGAGGGAAAGGGTAAGGATGATCTAGGAGAGGATGAACAGAGACTGCCTAAAAAGCTGATGAGGAGGATTGGGTATTATTAAGGTGCCTGAGCTTTCCTGCCAGGGGTCAGGCAGGACCCCAATCCTGAACGGTGGTGCTAGATTAGATCCCTGAGCTGCTCCTGGTCCCTGGACTGGCTAAGCCCCTCAGTCCTTGGGGTTGCCCCTTTCTTCTCCAGCTAGAGCCCAGCAGAGGTCCTGATTCTGAACTTGCTGCTCTTTGAACCCTTATCATCTGCCTCATCCCTCAGACACTGGAGGCCTGAAATATTCCCTCTTCCATGGTAAGTGAAAACTTTCAACTTTTCAGAGATTGCTTCTTCCATGCCTGTTCCCTCTGGAGCCCTTGACTGATGATTCATTGGTTTAATATTCCACACTTTTGACTCCTACCCCTGGACGGGCCCTGTGCTACACAGTAGGGATAAAGGCGTGAGCAGAACATGTCTATCCTCTGAGCTTCCTTTCTTACTGCTCCTCTTGCCTCCGGTCTTGCCTCCTATCTGCTGTCACACAGACCTCCCCACAATACAAAATTAATCACATTACTCCTCTGTGTAGAACTATCAACACCAAAATTTCCATTCAAATCTCTTGGCCTTTTATATAAGAAAGGCCCTTTACGAAATGACTCAAGTTCATTTCTGGCTGCTTCTTCTCTCACACTTTACCCACATGCAGTTGCAATTAAATATGTATTATATATTATAATATATATATTATATATATAGTTTTTCTTATTCCCCCTTTTTGACTCAAAAATGCTGTGAATTCTCTGTGAATCCCTTCTGCCAGGCAGATTGACCTCTGGTGCTCCTGGTGCAGCTCATTAAATCCTCCAAGGGAGCATTAATACTTTCAACCACACATATGTGTGTGTATTTATTCCTCAACCAGACCATAAACATACAGACATCTTCCTGTCTGTATTCACAGAGTCTAGATCAGCATGGCCCGTGGAGGAGGCTGTAAAAATTGTCCATAGAGGAGATACTGATGGCAGAGTCCCCTCAGAGCTTAGTTTAGGGGAAGACCAACCTGTAAACAACCACAGTTGTGTGATTAGTATTGACGTATTATTTTCAGAGTTTCTCCGCTCAAGAATAGACTTTTCTGTGTTTTGTATTCTGTGCCCATCCCCCACTTTTCCTTTTTTTGCCATTTCTTTTTTGTTTAAAAAATTTTTTTTTAACATTTATTTATTTTTGAGAGAGACAGAGACAGTGCGAGGTGGGAGGGGGCAGAGAGAGAGGGAGACAGAATCCGAAGCAGGCTCCAGGCTCTGAGCTGTCAGCATAGGGCCCCATGCGGAACTCAAATTCAATGAACTGCGAGATCATAACCTGAGCAGAATTCAGATGCTTAACCAACTGAGCCACCCAGGTGCCCCTCTTTTTTTGCCATTTCTGTTAATAACTATATCTATCTTAGTTTTCTAATGCTGAGTAACAAATTGCTGCAGATTTAGCAGCTTAAAACAAGGTACATTTATTATCTCAGAGAATCTGTGGATCAGGAGTCTAGGCACAGTTTCACCTCCCTTTGTTCAAGGCCTCGGGAGGGTACGGTCAAGGTATTAGCTGGGCTACATTCTCACCCAGAGCTCAGGGTCCTCTTCCAAGCTTACTGAAGTTTTTGACAGAATTTGCTTTCTTACGGCTCTAAGAAAGCCTCGGCTTGTGTTGCCCATTGACATCAGCAGTTCACAATGTCATTGTTGCTTCTTCAAGGACAGAAAGAGAGTGTTTCTCTTCAGCCTAGTCCCTCTTAAGAATTTGTATGTGATATAAGCCAGGCCTACCCATAATAACCTTCTTTTGGGTTAGCTCAGAATCAACTGACTTGGGACCTTAATTATATCTGCAAAATCCCTCCACCTTTGTCTTGTTATGTAACCAAATCATGGGTGCTATCCCGTCATATTCACAGATGTCACACACAGCCAAGGGGAGGGGATTACGTAGGGTACGTCCACCAGGGGAAGGAATCTTGGGGGCCATCTTAGAACTCTGCCTACCTGGTGCTCTAGTCCACTAGGCCTAGCTGGTGTCACTAATTACATGTATCGACTTTCTTCCTACAAGGCTCTGATCTTCCTGTCTTCTAACCTTGGCCAGAAGAGACTGAGCCAGCTACAGAGCTCCCACTAAAATCCTTAAGATTCATGTCAGCACCCTTGTGTGTGGGGAAACACCTTGGGATTACAGGCCAGGGAGGGTTTGTCACATCACAGGCTTTCATTCATACATATACACTGTCTTCTAAAGAGAGTTTCTTCAGGGGGCACTTGGGTGGCTCAGTCTGTTAAGCATTTGACTTTGGCTCAGGTCATGATATCATGGTTTATGAGTTCGAGTCCCGTATTGGGTGAGCCCCACTTCTCCCTCTCTCTCTCTGCCCCTCTGCCCCTCATGGTATTCTCTCTCTCTTCCCTCCCTCTCTCTCTCTCTCTCTGCCCTCACACACTTGTGCCCTTTCTCTCTCTTAAAAAAAAAAAAGAGAGAGAGAGTTTCTTTGGAAATCCCATAGGGAGAGAATGATGCAGCTTCCTTGGGAGATTCTACCTTGTGTCTCAGGATACTTCGAGAAAATTCTGACATCATTCTAAAATGGTTTGCATTTATTCCTGGAATATTTCTCAGTCAACCAGAAAGGGTCAGATACTGGGGATGATAAATAAGATAGAATTGTTCTGTAATGAAGCCATTTCCCATAGAGCTGTTCTCAAGTCTTTAGGCTTTATTTAGAGACAATCCGCAAATGGTGTTCACGTGAGGGCAGCAATCCCAGGGATGTTTTGGGGTTAGGTCAAATTCTTAAATCTTAACTCCAACATGCACACTTTCTCTCTTCCTCTCTCCTTCACTCTCCATCTCTCTCTCTCTCTCT